ACATGAGTTAAGATGAGATTGTTGAGTTACCTCTGTATATTATTACTTTATCTTGGTATGAGAGTAATAATATAGATTAGAGAGTTGACTGAAATTCCTTGACATGAGTTAAGGTGAGATTGTGAAGTTATATCTGTATATTATTACTCTATCTTGGTATGAGAGTAATAATATAGGTTAGAGAGGTGACTGAAATTACTTGACATGAGTTAAAGTGAGATTGTGAAGTTATCTCTGTATATTATTACTCTATCTTGGTATGAGAGTAATAATATAGGTTAGAGAGGTGACTGAAATTCCTTGACATGAGTTAAGGTGAGATTGTGAAGTTATCTCTGTATATTATTACTCTATCTTGGTATGAGAGTAATAATATAGGTTAGAGAGGTGACTGAAATTCTTTAACATGAGTTAAGGTGGGATTGTTGAGATTACCTTTGTATATTGTTACTCTATCCTCTTATGGCTACGGCTTAGTTTTAGTTAACTTTTGTTTAAAGAGTGACCTTGTGATAGGTTTCCGTCTAGAACTTTCCGCTGAGTAATAATATAGGTTAGAGAGGTTACTGAGACTCCTTAACGCGAGTTAAGGGGGAGATTGTTGAGGTTAACTCTGGTTAAGAAGTTAATCTCAGTTAAAAGTTAACTGAGGTTAGTTAACCAAGGTTAACCGCACATGTAGCTATTTATAGCTTAGAGTGGTTGACTATCTTGGGTATATATACCCTGAGAGTGATACGAGGAACTCACTTGAAGCAGTAAACTTTCTCGAGCGTATTCCTCTGTGGACGTAGCATCTGAGGGTGAACCACGTTATACTTGTGTCTCTGTGTTCATTATGTTGTTGGTTTGCTAGTCTGAGAGATTTAGCATTACAGAAACTTCAATACTAAATACTCAAGTTCAATAAGCTTCAACTTCTATTGACATTGCAGAGAGAAATAGTATACAAATTCAAGAGATCGAAGATCAAACCAATCTCTTGATTCAAATGAAAAATTCATGTACATACATACATCTCTACCTATCACGTACACGGATAGCTGACATGGCAATTAATGACAAATGTAATTATAACTTCATCTTGATTAATTTTTATTTTAGTTCAAACTAACTAAAGATGGTTACATCTGCATTAAAAATTTGTTTTGACAACAATGCACATACGAGTGTGACTGTGCTTGCATGTTTAACGATGTAGTAAACAATACACCATATTATTTTTGTCAAGAATATGAGCACATATGTCTTGCAATATTTCTAAATGCACAGTTTCTTGAACAATGTGAACAAAAAATAAGATAACTTTAACGTCTTAGTCGTCAATAGTATCAATTTTAAAACGCGATTCATTCTTGAAAATCGTTGTTATAAACATATACAAAGTTTGTGGATCGCATGGGATTTAAAGCCGTATGTAAACATAAACTCGTTTGACTTAATACATTACTTATGTAGCTTTATCATGATGCTTGATGAATAATTGCAAAAGTAGAATATCGGTGGATTAATGAAATATTCATTCTTGGTGCAAGACATTAACTTTTCACCATGTTGTTTCTTGACAAGACAAAACAAGGAACAAATATATAGATATTTCTCAAAAGTTGCAGCTTGTAGTCTAAGACTTTATCTAATAGATTCACTACATTCTCTCTAAGTAACTTCATCGTAAAATGTTCACAAAAACATTGCAATTGGTGAACAAACCATCAAGCTAATCAATGCTTACCCTGCACATTTGTGGCGCCGTCGAAGGTTAAGTAAGTCAACATCTTGCTAAGTGTGAAAAGAACATTGTTCATTACATATAAGTATTCATCCCGCATTTATTGAACACTAATAGTTCTTTAGAAGTAAGTTGAAATCAAACATGAAGCGACTTGAAGAACAATTTTCATGCTGAATGCTTAAAGACAACAAATGACATATATGTGTGGTGAATAACACGAGCAAATAATGTATTAAGCTTCTACTATTCATCTTTTCAAGAAATCAAAATGCTTCTTACAGGCAAAAAAAAATTTGTACTGTGAATCATTCGAGTACAACAATTTGCTCTTGTTGATGCTTGTAAGTATTGACAAACTAAAGGTTAATTCTAACATCTTTCAAGATAGTAGAAATCCGCATCCAAATAGTCTATTGAATGTGTCAGCTTCTGAGATCCAACATAATGATCACACATGCAACCCACTTCCACAATCATCTGTATGTTGCAAACGAAACACTTGCAATACATGAATATGACATCACACTGTAACAAGCTTCAAACTTCTCCCAAATGGTATATTTTGGCTTCTTCATTTTGAAAAGAGTCTTCTTTCAAGAATTTTAAATATCATCGCATGCTCTAAAGAATGTGAAATGTCACACTTGTAGCAAGCCGCTTTAGATTTTTAGCCTGAAATTCTCTTTGATAGCTTCTTAGTTTAGTTGCAAATTGAAGCATCAATCATTATGTTTCATGATGACTTTCGGCTCAAGGATACACAGATTTTTTGACACTGGAAGATCGTGTTTACACGAGGAAGGTAAATGATTAAGAACTATCAATTTTACTTCAACCATTGTTGTCACATGCTATTGATCATGCTTAAAACCTTGATTTAGTTTGTCATGTTCTCGCATCGAGACCTTGAAGAGTTGAACTCAATGAAAAGTTGACCCCTAGATTGTGCAAGTTGTTTATGTTACTGAACATGTGTCCTTTGTGTCATGCTGATCTACGAGATCTGTATACAAAAAATGTGTGATGTGATTTTTTTCTATCAGCTAACACAAAAATAGAGATAGAAGAATGAATTCACTTGGTTATGAAACTAGCAATCGTGACTATATGTACTTTGAATCCAGCTTATATCCGAGATCTGTTCACAAAGAATGTATGATGTGATCTCTTTTGATCAGCTTGCACACGATACGATACATAGAGAGAAGAATGAATTTTCTCGCTATGGAACTAGCAAACGAGACTGTCTAACCTTTGAGTCAAATTAATAGATATGTCACGAAGAATGTGACAAAGACAGAGAGGGAAGAATGAATTGGAAGTGGCTAACAAGGACGATAATACAACATGAACTTGTTTGTAGTTATCTTCACATGATCCAACATTTCATCCCTCATACATCCATTGCTACCTTGGATATTGATCTTTAGCGTAATTTTTGATAACAAAATACTTACTTATATTCCAAAGGGTTACTTACAACCCACCTAAATATGAAATCGGAGGTGGAATCCTAGTAGTAAAACTCTAAATTTTCACACTTATAGTAATCGGGTTATCATGGATTTTTATTATACAATACATGGTTTGGAATAGGGTAGGTTAGTTATCTCTCACCTAGGGCTAATTAGACCTTACCCTACTATACAAACGTAATTCATTGGTTCACTCAAGTTATAGTATCCGTGCGGTGAAAAAAAAACTTTGTGAGTTTTTAGTCTTTCTGATCGACTTCAAAGAAAGATGCATCTTTTCTGCCACCTCCACGTTCGAGTAGCCACGTCTAAAGCTTGGCAGCGAAGACACGCTCATTAGAAAGAATTTTTGGTTAGCCATGGAGAGTTCTTTCCCGCCGAGAGTAACTACGTCCGCTTCGGAGGATGAACAGCCTGAAGGGGAGGTCACTACAGACTCTGTGTCGAGTTAGTGCAAAAAGTTCAATGCCAAACGTGGAACATACTCTTGACGTATTCTCGATTCTTGGATGTACTATCAATGAGGCTTACGAGGTTTCGCCTCTTACTTTGCAACATTGGTTGGGATCAGAATGATTTTGAGTACATGTGAATTTGACGGGCTTTTTGAGTTTGAAAACTTTGGTTGCTCTGTCAGATGTTGCAGTAAAAAGTCCCTCCCTCCTTCTCTCTAAAATCTTTTCAGTGTTTTAAATCAACTAGCTGATTGGTGTGAAGGCTACGAAAGTCTCTGGAGATCAGGCTCATCTAACCCAACATTACAATTCGTCAAGGGAAAAAAAACCACATGCCTCGACAACTGTCACAATCTTGACCACGGTCTAATGGGTACTAAAGTAGACAGAGAACGAACGACGACTCGTTAGGACTCTGTGAGAGTGACACATGGTCCAGAGCATCAAAATGCATAGAAGATAGATTCTGTCGACAAGTACTATTCACAACGAGAACAAAATTTGACTCCGTGACTTTTGCCATGGAGTCATCCTTGATGTTATCATAAACACTAGAATTCACGAAGTGTTTTTAAACATTTATATTTATATAAAAGAGTTCGCAAAAAATGTAAAAATGGAATATCTTGAATATGCCGACGAAAGATTCTAATTAGATTCTAAATAGCATGGACTTTATAACTGAAGTGAACCAATGAGTGAAGTCCGTATAATAGAGTGACGTTTAATTAGACCCAGTCGAGAGATAATTAACCGCCCCTTTGTAAACTATGTATAGTACAGCGATATAATACAATGTGTATAATATGGGAATTATACATACACATCAATAGCCATGAAACTCACATGGGTTACCTGATAGAGTTACCTAATACTGAAACCGTACAGTATAAGGAGACGCGGCAGTCCTCGTAGAGGAATTATCGTAGATCATGATGTGAGAACCAAGCTTGCCTCCAGAACACTTTCTCCATGTGCGAATCTACAATTGCCACATTTTCAGAAAGATCAAACGCCGGAGCTTAATCCAGACTTAATCGAGACAAACAAAACCTCCGATGCCGATGAGGCCAAGAGTCTAAATTCGAGCAGCAGAAATTTGCGTCGATGAGTCGTGCAATTTGTGGGATTACTCCCAAAGATAAGGAGATCTAAGATAAGCCTATCTTGGAGGCCCATTTGTATACCGAGCTCATTAGCTCCCGCAATATGCATCTTAGCACGTGCTAATCATTTTTACAGACCCTCAGTGCGTGGGAGGGCGAGGACCCATTTATAGCGCATGTGGAGATTTTCCTGCGTCATGAATAGAGCTATGGAGGTCGCGGCGATTTCTTTACCGTGGTCTTCGTGCGGGTTTAGCCTCGCCCACTCCGCCGTTTACTTTTGACTTCACCGCTGGAAAGGGAACGGGAGGATCGACTGACTGGAGGAGCGATTCGCTCTTGAATATGCCGGCCATTATTCCGCGGTGGCAAGCACGCTTTTGAATGCGAGTTGCTCACGAGTGTGACCTCCGAATCGCGATTCTGGCCTCTACCTAGGGCGGTGGGTCGAGGAGGAATTTGGAAGCGGCAGATGTGCAAGGATCGAAAACTTCGCAGTGTTCGATAATCGAGAGCGGTGGAAACGAGGCCGAGGGGAGATACATATTTCGTCTGTGTTGCTGCTCGCTCGCTCGCTTGGGACGGAGCAGTAATCTTCGTCTTCTTTGCTGGAGAATTGGCTATCTTGCGGAACAAGTTTTGAATAGAAGAAGGTGGCGTGGAGCTGCAAGTAAGCGAGCGAGCGAGAAAGAACGGACTCCTTGGTTTGGACTTGCTGTGCTCAGTTCGAGGGTCTCGGTCGTTCTTCCGTTTTAGGGCTCTTTTCTACACGCAGAAGCGCATATGGTGATCGGTAGCGTGTCAGGAATCGAGAGAGGTCATCCCCTACTCCGGAACCAGCTCCCAGTGACGGTCAATTTATTCTCATTCTGATGATCTCTTGAGGTTTTGCACGCGGAAGTTCTGAGCGGACCGAGAACAATTTCGACGACCCCGCGGTGAAGTTAAATCGAGTCATCCTTGAGGTACCATCGGGGTCGAAGATGTCGGACGCAGTGGTAAATGGTCTGGCCGGGGCTGGAGGTGGCATCGTCGCGCAGCTCTTGACCTACCCTCTTCAGGCTGTGAACACCCGACAGCAAACGGAGAGGAAAGCCAAGAAGGGCCTGACTCGAGATGGAGTTGTCACAGTTCCATCGGAAGAATCTAAGCGACAGTCTCGGGGTACTATGAACGAGCTTTGGAAAGTGGTGAGACAAGAGGGATGGGGAGGGCTCTACAGGGGTCTGTCGCCTTCGCTGATCGGAACAGCTTGTTCTCAGGGTGTGTACTACTACTTTTATCAGCTGTTTAAAAACGAGGCAGAGGCTCGGTCAATTCGAAGAAAACAGCGTGGTGTGGGCGATGGGTCTGTCGGCATGTTCACCTCTTTGATCGTTGCAGCGCTAGCAGGTTGTGTCAACGTGCTTATGACGAATCCAATTTGGGTGATAGTCACTCGAATGCAGACTCAAAATCAAGCCCAACAATTCTCCAAATTAGTGGGCAAATCGGCATCCACTGATTTATCCAATGCAAGCCCTTCTACAGGCAGTCGGGAAGCTCCTCCCATCCTTACTTCGAGGCCTGTCTCGCAGGGAGCCCTAGCCACGGTGCGCGAGCTTTATGAGGAAGCGGGTGTAGTAGGATTTTGGAAGGGTGTACTGCCCACTTTGATTATGGTTAGCAACCCGGCAATCCAGTTCATGCTGTACGAAACCTTGCTCAAATGGCTGACCAAGAAGCGTCCCTTGAAGAAAAATGGTTTGAAGCATACTACGGCTACAGAAGTTTTTGCAATTGCCTCTGTGGCAAAACTGGGTGCCACCGTGGTCACATATCCCCTGCTCGTGGTGAAGTCCCGTCTCCAAGCCAAACAAGAAATTGGAGGAGACAAAGCACTGCAATATTCCGGAACCGCCGATGCAATCGTGAAAATGGTCCGCTACGAAGGCATTCTTGGATTTTACAAGGGGATGAGTACGAAAATTGTTCAGAGTGTCGTAGCTGCCGCGGTTCTCTTCATGATCAAAGAGGAGCTGGTGAAGGGAGCTCGAGCTCTGGTCACCAAACGGGACGATCTGGCCAAGGCTGTCCGAATTGTTGACATGAAGAAGAAGTAAGGCCTAACCGCGAACCGCATATGCTCATCGTGTGGAGGAATTGACGGTTGGAAACCAAGTCGAGAACTTGTGGATGTTCCGATAAGCCTTGTCTAAGTGTGGATCGAACTCGAACCACACTTGCATCCGATCCATTGTCCCCTGCCTCTCGAAAGTATTGTGAGCATCCTGTAAAGGAAGATCGCCGAAGTTGGTCATGCGAGGAGCAGGTTTCATTTGTACAGGCGTGTGCAGCCCCCTTATTTCACTTGCAAATTCGAGATGACTCTAGCATCTCCAATTAATGTATCGACGACTACCTGCAGCCAACCATTCTTGCAATTAGGAATCTCACCTGTCATAGCAACTTCATATTATTTATCATTATTTGCGACCCTTCGTGGGTGTGCAAGGGCCAGAGATTAATGTGGCTTTCCTGCGGAACTCTGCTTGTAAATAAATTGTTAAGTACAGTAGAGTGCCGTAGTTGGCTATTGGATGTGTTAGAAAATCCCGTTCGATATTATCGTGAACTACATGTATGTCGGGGACAAACCGGAGCCAATTGGGAACGAGAAAAGTATTTGAACGTCGTAGTACCTAATTGTGACTTCTACTACATTCATGTCTCTGTGGAGTCCTAACTGCTCGGGAAGCGTGTACTATAACGTCTTGTGTTCTGTGATCGAAGGCGGGATAATCCGTGACCACCAGCAGGTACATGAGAGGAGGGATGGGTCGCAAGAAGTTGCGGGTAAGCTTAGCTCTCCTTTCGTGGTGTCTTTTGAATTTGTATGATCTGGTCTGTTTCGGTCAGAATGGGTGAGACGACGTCGACTGTAACTGGTCCTATATGTCACAAAGATCGTTCGAGGGTTTGATCGGGCCTTGGAAATAATACGTTCGTTGTGAGAAAATTTTGCTCGCCTGGGGGTAGTGCAGTGTTCGATTAATGCAACCGGGCTAAAGTTTGTGACAGTGGTCGAATTACACTCGCCAGTGAGGTCAATTTTGATACGGTAGTCCATAGCGGGAGATGAGGAGTTTGTGACAATGTGGAACTTCTGTACTATCTCCGTTAGGTATCATGACATCAGAACAATCTTCGACGTTGTCAAACTGGGTACGGTGAAAGGTTGCAGCTGCAGTCTGAGCTGAGGAAGCTTGGTTACTGAACCCAGATCGTTCTCTCATCAGATCATTCATTTTGCAAATTGTGGGCATTATGGCACTTACATTTGTAAGCATTCTAAGCATGATCTAGTACACATAATTCGCAATTTTCCACGAACCATTAAGATCAGCCTGTATTCTGGTCCATTGTGGTGCACATGCTTTTTTATGGAAGATCTGAACTCTCTAAGACACTTCAGTATGAGATCGTTGAAATTCGTGTACTAGGATCGGACACATGTACTGAGCCGGATTCCGCGTTTCAGAAGATGTGCATATTGAGCTGCCGTGTGCAGCGAACAGGAGAAGTGACCTTTTGACTGAACGAACGATGTAGAAAGTCTGCCAACCGCCCTTTAGATCGGAAAGCGACATTATAGCTTCACGTGAGGTCTTCCAACATTGATGCACTCATTTTTCGTGAGGCAGGCACTGGTACGGCGTCCTCCAATCACCGGTGTTTTGTCACCTTCATGTGCGATGCTGGCTAGCGTTGGGTTGAGCAACTCGCCGCAGTCGTCACGACGTCGTTCGAATGTGGACGTTGTTCGATCGAGCACGGACTGCTCTGACTTCTGTCGTCTCTCTAAATATGAATGCCACTCCCACGCTAACAGTGCAAATCATCCGAATGGTGAATCCTCGACAGAAGAAATGGGGACTTTCAGACTAATGCAAATCTTACAAGGACCACTATCTCGACATTAGAGTTCAATTTGCTAGATAGGTAAGACGTCGGTGGTTGCCAAGCCCTCAGAGCACATCACACGGGACGAATACCAGAAACATTGAAGTGCATCCAATATAGTGGAGCTCAGTAGCGTGGACGACAAACTTGGAAAACGTGAAAACATTGGGGACGAAAAGTCATGATTCAGTTTCTTTACGAGGTCTTTCGCCTTGACAGCGTCGCTTCTGGCGAGTAGTGCGCAGAGGAAGGACGACGTCAGATGATTGCCGTCTTTGGCGCCTGTGAACTAGGGTAGAGTACAGCAAGCTACTGAGAAATGAATTTCGAGGCGCGGAGAAAGTCTCACAAATTTTTCTCTGATCTGCAGCTACCAGCATCCTGAAGCGGTCCTAAATGAACAAATGTGTGCCCCGGCTTCACACCGGTGAAATCTCCTGTGCGGGTTTGAACACGGTGAAGGTTTCGGGTTGTCTTCAAGATTGCCGTCTTATTTGGAGACTGCAGATTTGGACGGAGAACATCGAACCTTAAAGTACGAGGACTAAGAAGGTTTATGGCTTTACTGCCTGGAATGTTTGCTTTCTACTGGTTCTTATGCTTTTGGGTTCTTACGTTAGTCTCAGAATGCAATTCCCTGAATTTTCCTCTCTCTACGTACAGACGTGCAGAACCGTACGAGGCCTGTTTGAATAGCAAAGATCTTTCCAGGTGGAAATTTGGAACAACTCGTATTGCAGATCGAGCAAGATGGAATACACGGACAGTACTGTTGATGACCTTTTCTCAGGTACTTTTAATACAGCAAGATATGTATCCTGCAACCTTTCGATTGAGGCTGGTGCGGTGTCGAAATGAAGTCTTTGCTGCAAGTTTGTGTCGTTGGTCATGGAGTCTTCTGTCTCAGGAGACTTACTGAATTGACCAAAACACTGATGCTTCTGAACAGATGAGAAGTGCTTTGGTTTAAATCCTTTACCATTCTCACTAATGCTAATTGGTAACTACAGAAGAGATTGGGTCGCCATCATTTTCTTTGATTTTAGGTCTTGCGAATCACCTCCTTCTGCTCTGGAAGCAGCTTGAAGATTCAGGTTTTCAAAAAGCTCCCTTGCTTATCTTGTTTCAGCCTGGCTCAAAGACTCGTGTGGGCCATAAAGGCGAGACGAGCCTGGTTCAAACAGAATAAGCAAATGAACTCTTGAAGCATCCGATAAAATTGGAACGATACAGAGAAGATTAGCATGGCCCTGCGCAAGGATGACACGCACAAATCGAGAAATGACATACAGGCTCCAGTTGTTATGTTAGTTCAACGATGGCGCCAGTCTTGTGTGAAAGAGACGTGGGCATTTTCTCCATCTCTTCGCATTCCTAGGAACGACATGCCGTTCCTACCTTTCGGCAGGTGCTCATTTCTGCCACTTATATTGTGAACTCCACCGATCAAATTTCCCAAAAACTCTCTTGATTTTCTTGTTTCAAACCGGCAAAACGATTGGTGAACCTTATGTTGTATCGTGCCGGTTTTAAACATTGGAGGCAGGAGAGATTTTTAGGAAACCGAAGAATTTGCTCAGTCTCTGGATGAAGAGTGTATTACAGTCTGTCGGAGAATGCAGTTACCGCTGTTGTTCCTGGTTGGTCTCGAAGAAAGGTGGAGTATCACTTGAAGAGTATCTGTTGTAGACCACTCGGGGCTATGAAGTCTTCTGACGAAGGGAGAAGCGCCACAGACAGTTCTTTCGCAGTATGGGATGATTCACAGAATGCGAAAGAACTATCCTCCCGTAAGGAAGTTGGTACGGCCGGTGAGTTTTTTAAGGTGGCAATAGGGGAAATTCTCACACAGAAGATTATGCTGCCGTTCTGCTCGGAGGGCATAGGGCGATTGCTTGTTTGTTCATGAAGTCTGGTGTACCTTGAGTTTCTGGCTTGTTGTCGAAGCTCGTTCTTGAACGGAAACACGGGAAAAGAACAAGTTCAGAGGGGGAGATTGGAACAAGAAGGAAGAGCCTGGAAATGACACCTTTGAGAGCGCAAAGCTCTCTGACACCTTCGCATTCTCTAGATTAGTACTTAAGAGACATGGTCTACTTCGACTTCTTAGACGAGACAGCTCAATGGGCTTTTTTTTCACTGTAGAATGTCAATTTTATACACCTTAGATCTTTCTCTTGGTAGACTTCGATGCTTTGGATTCTAAGACCTGCTGCCTCAGTGAAACCTTTGAAGCTTTGTCGTCGGAGGCATAGAAGGTGTTTAGTTTCTACCAAAGTACCTCATTTATGCTGATATTGAAGTTAGAATGATATTAGGACGCTAAGGGCTCCATAAGTAGATAGATAAGTAGATCGATCGCCGGCACGTGTGTCCTTCACGAATTGTAAAGCTATTCCTGAAAGCCATGATTGAACACCTCTGCCGTCATAGAATTCAGACCTCTGAGATGGCAAAGAGTGATTGCTTGTAAAATCTACTTGAGCACTTTACCTGGGGCTTGGTGACACCAAGCCCGAGATACATGTCCGAGATACATGACACCAACTACACCAAGTTGGTGTAGCTGGTGTCATATATCTCAAACATGACACCGAGCTGGATAAACTTGGAAATTTATTCAAAAGTCGAGAATTTAGGTGGACTGGTGACTATTTCCACTCACGTGATGCCTTATGATCTAACTAGTTCAGCTTAATTAGATGAGCACTGAACTTCGAGCCAAAGCTGGGCTTGTTTCCTTCGAAGCAAAACCGTTAACCTCTGTCTGATCTTGGATCCAGATGCTGCTACCCTGGACTTGGAGATTGGTAGCGACTACAATATGGAGGAGGTTGAAATGGATAGCGAAACAGAGGCCGAGGACGATACTGCGTCGGAGGACCTGAATGCTACAATGAAATCAATACAGAAGCTAACTTTCCTTATGGGTATTTTGCATTCTTGATATCGTCGTTTGTGTGTGGTCAGCGCTCGACGCCTTCCTGCGCATCCAAGAGCATAATTCTGCGTGTTCTTATACTTGTCTGTCCAGGTTGTGCGCAAAGGACATGAAATTCTTGGGAACCGAGTGATAGACACGCTAATATTCTGCTGTGACTCGCAGGCAAGAACAAGGGGATTGCAGCAGGTTTATCAACCAAAGTAAAGACCTATGGAGAAGTTATGGATGACTTCGTCAGGAATTTCCTCATTCAGAATGGCTGTGTGAGGACTGTCGAGTGTTTTGAGGTTTGTGATTGCTTTGTATTGACCTCTGTAGGTTGGCTGGGTTGACATATTTGATGCTTGAAGCTACTTAAAAAAATTATATAAACAGATAACATTGATTGACACAGCAGGAGATATTGCCATATTAGACAGCTCTTAGATCCGATCAACGACATTCATTGCATTTGGGTTCTGAAAGAAACGAAGGATTGTATTTTTTAATAAAGCATGAGAAGTGCCAGGAACAAATGATGCTAGAAGGTTATATATGAAGGAGTTAAGCTCCTTAATTCATCTTCCTTTTGTTAATGACTTCACGTTTTTCTGCAGACAGAGTGGTACGACTTGAAGGAACAGGGCCGATTGCTAGACTGTCATCTTTCTGAGCCACCTGATGAGTATACCCGTTCCCTGGAAGTCCAGGGCATCTTGTCGAAAGTACAACAGCAGCTGAAACAAGCCAACCTCCTTGCCCAGTACTCTTCCTGCTCTTCCTGCCTCAAGTTTTTCATACCTGCTGCTGATGCCTTCCGAAAAGCTGGCGTGAATTGACCAGGGTTGTATCGTGTTACTTACTGCAGTATCTCATTAACGATGACATCCGCCCGAATGTCCTTGATAAATTTAATAATGGTAGTCATTCTGTCTAGAACTAGACTATGCTGTCGACCAGTGAGCGTGTGAAGTTCCGAAACATGAAAATGAAGTACCGATGTTCTCGATGTACTTAGGAGGAAAGGATGCTACCTGCAGTCTATGTAATGAAAGCTGGTTCAGATTGCAGATGTAGGCAAGAAATGACGGATAAATTCCGAAAGGAGCGAAATGTGCACCGCATGCATCACTGTCGTATCGCTCAAGAAAAGAACAAGCTCATAAACGATATCAAGGTTGGAACACAAGTTGCTTCAGGCTTGTTCTGATCATTCTAATAACTTGTACTACAAGACAATAATACCAAAAATAGAGACGTTATCTTCTGCGTGTGGGTACATATCTTCCTCATAGGGTAGCTATTGCTTCGTCAAGCACACGATTCTGGAAGCCGCGAAATGCTTTGATGATATTTTCTGGCAATCCATGTGCAAATGACTTTTGTGTTCCTCCATGACAGCTTCTACGGAAACACTATGCCCGATATGAGCCTGTAATACGAGCGTTGAAGAAAAAGTTCGAATATGTAACGCGTGCGAAGGCAATGCTTATGATGGAGCGCGATAAACTGAAGGACTTGGTAAGATCTCGCCGAGCCCGACGACTTAATTCTGGCCATCACTCATGATGGCAGTTATCGTAGCAGTATATCGGAGTTTACTTGCTACCTCAAAAATCTCGGCTCTTCCTCCCGAGACCAGAACTAAAACGATGTTCCTTCTGCCATGTTCTGGATGATATGAAGACTACCTTCTTGTTCGCAACAGCCGCATCGAATGAAGAAAAGAAGCTTCGCGACATAAAAAGGAACTAACTAGTTGGACACATACGCTAAATGTTGGAAGTCAGAGGCAGCCGTGAGGGGCCTAGTCCGCGCGGTTTAAATCCCCTCAATCAGTTGCTAGCTTTTATGTGCTCTGCAGAAAGATGGATTCAAATTTGTTATACAATGGTTTTCGGCAGATTGACAAGGCTGGCCTCAACAAAGGGGATGACACTGAATCTGTAGTTCAACAAGAAGAAAAAAGTGAACCTGTTGCTATGTACATGGGGAAGCCAGACCCTCTTGTAATGATTCGACCAGATCGTAGAACAATCATAGATGCTACTCCGAAGCCTTCGAATGTCCATAAATTCACTTTGCGCAGAACCTTCAAAGGTCACTCAATGTCCGTGAGCAAGTAAGTGGTTGATGCTGAACCTGAAACTCGAGGTGCTCGTGTGTACTTGCTTAAACTGCCCATATTGTTATGCTATGACGAGAAACCCTGGAGCACACACGTAGTACAGACGAGCACCGATGTAGAAAACCAGTGCAGAGATGGAAGAGCAAGGAGTTTGGAAATAAGTATGAAGCCGGACTTTGACACAGAGATTATCTAATATGGAGTCTCGGTGTTATGAAGTTATACAAAACAACATCAGGCTGTTGTCCGTTTTTAGAACTCAGATGGAAGTAAATCTGAATATGTCGGGATACATGCAGTTAAATACAGACTAAGGACATAACGATGCCCAAGTGCACAGATAATCTACGGTTTGCAGCCGTCTTTCCATGAACGAGACTACGACCTTGTTTGAAGCCTTCAAACAACGGTGGTTAATATGACAACGGAATGACTGCCCTTCAATATGAAGGGCAGTGTCATTCCGTTGTCATATTAACCACGATTCCATTTACCTTTATGACATGGTAGAATTCTCTCAGTGCCGCCTTTGTTTGGAGTTAGATGCCTGCGGGACGTGTAGCTGCAAACCGGGTGGAGAAACATTGATAGTTCAAGGATTGTTTCCACCGGGAGGAGCTATGAAGTAGGACACTTCTTAGTGGATGATAAGTTTGATCGACGACGAGCAGTTTGGGAGTTTAAAGTAGACGACAGTTTGCAATGTCCCTGGAGCACCAGACTCGGTTTTTCCTGCTCATGTGCACTCGTTTCGAGAATCCTGGATAGAATTTGTCGAAGTTGTAGAATGAAGTCAAAGTGGTGAAGAATCTAGCATGTCATCGCCCTGTGTGCAGTGTCGTGGTTCATCCCAAAAAGCCGGTGGTTGTAACTGCGTCAGATGATGCTACTTGGCGGATGTGGGGGCTGCCCGCGGGTGATCTGATAATGACAGGAGATGGGCACAAGGACTGGGTTTCCGGCCTCAGCTTCCATCCAAGGTTTACTATCCATGTACTTCTCCCGATTGCTGCAAATTTGTTGGTGTGAGAATTTACGGACAGATGATCGATCTGTACATGAAGTTCTGTTGCAAGTCTACGGTGGTAGACCATCGCAACGTAGTCTTCGTCTTCTTCTTCGCTCGATCGTTGTTTTGCGAGGTCCGAATTCTTTTGCTTGGAGAATTGACGGTTACAAAGTATGTACCAGACTGTACTAATTCCCCAAAAGGAAAATGTAGTCTGACAGGAAGCTGAACGAACGAAGCACTAACGGCGAGCTTTTGTACAGCATACGGATAATGCTCTGGGACCTTAAGAGGAAGAATGTACTGGCATTTCAAAGATGTTAGTTATGGCATTCAAGGGCAGGTTTTGGCAGTCTGCAGATTTGTGGACATGTTCACTGGCCCTACATATCTCAACGTCACTGTCACACGACAAGGTGAATGAGCTGGTGTTGATCACTTTTCTAACGATGCTTTTGGTTGCAGCGGAATGCAGCTCGCATCATCCTCAGGAGACTGTACAGTGAAAATTTGGAGCTTCGAGAAGGCTCGTTGCACTCACACCTTTTCCGACCACACTCAGGTCCAACTTCGGCTTCCTCCCTTTCCATTATAATCTGGGACCACAGCATCGATTCGGCCATCGATGTCTGTGTGTGTGTGTGAAGAGAGAGAGAGAGCCCTCAGCCCTCAGCCCTCATGGGGCTGGCCATGATCTAAACCTCCTTGTTGATATCTGTCCAGGCAGTTTGGGCAGTTTCGTATCATGAAAGCGGAGAGGTCCTCGGAAGCTCCTCTCTTGACAACACTGCCCGTATCTGGGATCTTTCCAGGTATTGGACCTTCCATAAAGCCATTGAAGTACTCTGTTAACTACTCAGTGTGTCTTGCGATTGACACTGATCACTGGAGCTGATTCTTGAATACGAAGAATAAAAAGAAATTCGTCGCAAAAAGGTCTTTGTTTCTGTTGAAGAGATGTAGTTTTCAGGAATACGGTTTCTTATCCTTGACTGTTGTTTCCTTTTCTTTTTAATCATCTGTGATACCGTTTAAAGGGTTCGCATCTGCCATTTTCGATGTGGATTTCATTCTGGATTCTGTTCTCGAGAGAGTCATCGGAAAGTGGCTAACAAGGATCCATGGGTGGCTTTGTGTTCTGATGCTGGAGTGTGCTATTTGAGATAATTAGGATTGTATAATCGAGTGAATATACAATGAACCCGTACCCGTTTATTTATCACCGGACATATGGTCCACTATGGTTCGTGCTCAATCCCATGACACTTGGCAAGTATTAGAAACGGTTCACAGTGGGGAAGGTATTCCTCCATCCTTTAAGTTCTGGACGATTGCAATCGTAAGGTATTTGTTGACTTTAGTATCCATGGAACCTTGGACAAGCTCGTTAGAACTACCATGTTCTGAGTCACTTCTCCACGTTCATTCAAGTCAAAAATTTTACTACGTAACCTCAACCTGATGCCTCTAATCTGTGTGCCTTTTCATCCACTCGGTCTGTTGGGGCAATCTGTCGCAGAAGTGGACCACTACCAAGAAAGAACTTAATGGGAAAGAATTGCAGATCTAACTTTTTTGTATAAGCCCGTAATAGCCTGCTGAAGATCTTGGATGGACCCCATGGCTCCCGGTCGGAAAAGAAAATTAACAGTATGGCTTTCTGTCCATCTTGCTAAACCCGGGGTACTTTTAGAATTGATGCCAAAGTGTGCCATGGAACAGCATGAAGTGTCGAGGAACTCTGAGGGGCCATGTGGACTCGGTGAACTCGGTCATGTGGCAGTCGTACAGCAGCATACTTTGTACATCGTCCAGTGACAAAACCGTCAGCTTGTGGGATGCCAGGAACGCGCTTTGTGTCCAGACATTTTACGGGCACGAAGCGTCCTGCAATCATGCAACTTTTAGTCCCAGGGTAACTACTGAGCTCTGCCGGGAAGATGAAGGGCTTCATGGACTTCTTTACGGTGCTCAGAAGATTGATTTTTTAAGTTAAAACCGTGATGAGATGTAATTCCAAAGCAAGCACATATTCATAGAATTTTTTTACAGATAAGAACCCAAAGGTTCCATCTCTAGTTTGGATCTGGAAAAGTGCAGATTGTCAAGAACGTGAATCTTACGATATGTTTGGAATCGTTGTGAAATCACCCACATCTTAAAATTATTTTAATGCCTGATAATGGTCTAGGATGGATGGTCTTTGCGCGTCAATTGACTCAAGCCTAGTTTCGGACATATATATAACATCTGATGGAATGTCGCCATTGGACTGACATGTACAGCAGATGCTAATCTGCTGTACATGTTTATCCGATCTCATGAGAACAACACCGTGATAAGAATCTCTCCTTGGCATTGCAGGGTAATTTGGTAGCATCTGTCGATGCCGATGGAGTATTAAAAATTTGGGATGTTCGTCAAGTGATGGAACGTCACATGCTCAATGTGGGACCCCATTCCGCCAACAAAGTCTGTTTCGACGCCAGTGGAACTATGATTGCCATTGCTAGCAATGACGGCCATATTAAGTGGTGGGTTTCCAAACATGCTGCGGCTGGTTGGCTAGAAAGTTTTTACACTCTGGAGAGATGAGCCATTGCAATTTCAAAGCATTAACAAACATTGTCATTTGAGCACGTCCTCGGCTGGCATGACCGGACTCGTCAGATCACTCATCTGATCTGATCACCCCACGACATGGCTTCTAGGCATTCGAGAAATGTAAACAGCAAATGTCGTAGCATTCTGCAGCCACTTTTTGGGTCTCCCAGTACGTAGAAGTAGAAGCAGGCATGTAAAGAGTTTGACCCTGAGTGGCGGTCGAGAGCCATGTCTTGCGCCTCATGATTAACTCGATTTTTTGACATTGCAGTTTTCAACTCGGCATGGAGCTGGTGCCGGTGAACGACCTGACAGGTCACGAAGGGGCCGTGCAAGCTTTGATGTTCGATCCCGTGGGCAAGTTTTTGATCTCGGGTGGCTCCGACGGTACCTTCAGGTGTTGGGCTTAGTTTAGTTAGAGCAACATCTGAAACGTGCCCAGTGCGACACAACCTTTGCTTTGCTCCACTTTTCTTGGCCCATCAAGTCAAACTCGGGTGCATTGCAAAAGTGGGGCTCGACGATACGTTCATCATCATCATGCGACGATGGTTCGGATGATGTTTGTCCGCGATGATGTGAATCTCTTCTGGCTCACAAGAAGGAGAGCTTCACACGTCGAACTGAACGTCGACAGTACGACCCCGGGCATCGGAAAACATGTTAGCAGTCGTGGAGATGCGCAGCAGCAGCAAAGTCCACTCGGATCGGATTGGCTAAGAACGACGACAACAACAAGGGTGTCATTGGTTTCAGAACTCCTGGTCCTCACGGCTGCTCCATATGGGCCTGCCACGGGCCCTGGCTCGTTGTGACGGACCTTTAAAGGTGCCCTCGACGGACGAGGACAGCTGCTGGGTGCGAATGGGAGCTTTGGGAGTCTGAGCTGGGAGTGGGGAGGGGAGGGGAGGACTTCTCTAAGTTCATGAACCATGGACCCTCCAGTACAGTGACAGTGAGGGGCTTGCATTTTACCGAACGCTTTGGGTGTGGCCGCAGCCCCTATATATTTATTAATCTATCCATCTATCCATGTATCTATCTATGTATCTATCTTGAGCTGGAAAAGTATTGTACGTGCGACTGCGAAATCCAGGGTCACGATGATTGGGGATGTTCATGCTCCAGGCAAGAAGTATTATTCCTGCAATGTACCTTGGGTGAATAATCGCCTCCCTAGGAAGGAAGGAAGGAAAGCAAACAAGAAGCCGACCTTGACTGGATAAAGTTCCAATGATTTGCCGAAAGCCTCGTGATTCGATCAAACGGAAAGATTTTGTTGCACTTTACAGCGCTTCGGCTGGCTCACTTTCTGACGCCTCGCCCATTTGTGAAGTCTTGATGGAACCTTTGCATCAATCTCAACTAATTTGCGCAGGAATCTGCCGTCAAGGAAATGCATAGTGGTGCTGCGGTGCACGGAATATGTATGACACCGGGTTTACAGGTCCATTGCTATTTCCATTTCCATTTCCATGTGAGCCGCGACATCATTTCACGATCATGTCGAAGTCTCCAGGGGCAGATTTTTGTAGGCGGGAACCCACCCTCGAATCTTATACGGCCCCCCTTTCCAAACGTGTCCATGTCCATGACTCCAGATCCAGTAACGAAGTTCATGTCTCGGGTACTACTCTGTTCTTTTCAACTTTAATCTCTCGCCATTCTGGGGTTCCGTGCCGACATGGCAGCTGATTCTCGAGCCTCGCCCTGGTTTCTGACTGGAGAGAGATATTTGCGAGCATGAACATGAATCGCATCCTAGATTCTGCACTCCATTCCGATGGCATTCCAGAAAAGCGAATGATCACCTTTGCACCGGATGGATCACACGACAGGCGCTCCGGCATAACCCCACCTCCACCTCCTCCTCCTCCAGCAGCTCCTGCTCTCCATTAGCAGCAGCTGCTGCTGCTGCAGCAGCAGCAGCAGGCGATGCGTTTCACATACGTAGGTGGGAAATGAGATTCGATTCCACAGTTCATGACGCCATGTTGCGAGCTGAATCATGGGCTCTGAACTCCAACACACCTAATGCAATTTTTCAATCATGCATGATGATTAGTATAACATCTGGGCCATAATTTAAGCCCCCGTACTCCTCCCACCAGCTCACTGCTTTCCATTTCCCCATCTGAACCCCCAGAATATGACCAGGAATATGCTGTACTTCGCGCTGAGCTGCGAGGCCTCGAGAGTCTGGAATTCTCACAGGCCCAAGATGCTCCAATATAATGTAATTTTTGCTCTCCCTCTCGCTCAGAGTCTGTGGATGGGGAGAGTGTGGAGTGGGCCAGATTTGCCAGACCTTTTCTTCGTCCGGGGAATACGTATCGCAGAACCAGCACGGGCACAGGTACAGTTATATATATATACACACACGCTCAGGATCAAATCCATGGAGTGAGATTCGGTAATTTCTTCGTGTTCGAGATAAAGTGGGAGCAAAGTTGTTGAATTGTCGTGGTCGTCGTCGCGGCCCCAGATAAAAGCTTGTCTATGATCCATTGCTCTCCACGTAAGTTGGAGGAATGCGATTCCCAACAGAAGGAAAGGGGAGGAATGTCCAACCACTTTCTGATTCATCAATCGAAGAGCCTGATAATCGTTTTCTAAATGGGGTTTCTGAAGACTGGAATGATTATGCAATGATCTTGTGGATCTTAATGCTTGTCATGTGACTTTTTCTTCTTCTTCTTCTTCTTTCTGGGCTCATGCTTCTTCTTGACCTCCTCCTCCTCCTCCGATATAACCTCCATTTCGCAATGGCGGCTGCGATTCCAACTAGTAACTTTTTCCATCATTCCTGCCATAATGAGGCAATGTCGACAACAGATTAAACGCTTTATAGTAATCTAGAATTCCACGAGATGCTGCTTTCACTTTCCATATCTGAGCGTCTGATAGCCGTATATTGAATCGGTTTAGAACCTGGAAATTTCAGATAGTTTGAATCGTATTTGATAATATTATTTTGTTCTAATAAATATAATTTTGCATTATTGAAACTAGTCTTTGGATACACATCGGACAAAAGGAATCATATGACAGAGGGTCTGGACATTGAAGAAATACTGTCCATGAAGCCTGCAGAAAAGAGAAGTTGTCATGGATTATCCTGTTAAAACAGTGGCATACATTCTCCTGGTGCTGAGTTTTATTCATCTTCTAAGATCCCACCCAACTTATAATTCTGATGGCTTGTAGTTGTAAAGATGGAATAACATGAAAAGAGAGAATACTTAATCATTTTAAGTCATCTCCCTAGTATCCTCGATGTCTGGATTTGGAATGTCACCCGAGTTACACACATGATTCTCGCAAATAGCACAATCACAACATGCTGCCACTAAACTTCAAAAGACAAAACCTCATTGACATATTTGTAGGACCAGCAGTCACACATAATGTGGTAGTTATACTCTACTAGACACAAACGGTCATATATATGTCTACATTATCACCTTAGGGATCCTTCATCTTTTAGAAATTGTTTTATTTTGGGTTTGATGTACTATTAGTTTTTGTTTGTCTTCCTCTTTTTATGATGGTACAACAATCGTAACCATAAATTCTTGTTTGTCACACTATAGTGATAAATCTCAATGATGCCATGCCAATAAAGCCTAACAAACCCAGATAAAGCATGTCATTCATTTCATGATGTGTGTTTGACAGATTTGAATAGTTAACCACAATAAATCAACTTTGCCATACACCAAGTTAAATTTTCAACTTTGATCTATGCTAGGATTCACTGACAACCTGCAAGATCAAACTTGTAGCTTTATAATTCATAAATTGCTGACTCATTTTCAGTTTACACTAGATTCACCATTGATTCTACTGTCACGTAATCCTGATAATGTGTCTTTAGCGGGAAATAATGAACTTCGGATTCTAAATCTGAAACCGATTTTTGTGAATTTATATACACTTCTGTTACAACTTATATCAGCAACATAAAAAAAAGGGAGATATTAAGTAAGCTTGTTTCAAAGCATTAGAATGAAACATTCAAACTATGTGGAAAGTAGTTATATTCTAGAATAAAAGATTCATGTCACATATCAATAACATAGATTGAACAAAAACCTTTTTAATTCTGACATATATTAAATACATCAAGAACGTTTATATCAACAGGTGCTTCTCAAATCTGTTTCATGGCGTTTTTTAAGCACAGTATAAGGTGTTTATGTCTGATTCTTGGTTGTGTCTCCAGTTTGGGAATCTTAATAATTTGTTTTGATCTTTCAGCTAGCTCTTTGCAAATGTTGCATCTGTGTTTTGATTTTTATATTCAAGTATCAATCAAGCTATCATTTTATGCTCGAAGCTTGACTTCGGTTGCTATTTTAATGAAATAATAAGTTTAGAACTTCAAGTTGGAATTATAGAGGCATTTTTTTAAAAATGAAATTAGTTGATGTGATTTTTTCTGCCGAAAAATTGAAAAATAGAATCAGGCTAAAATGCTTTATTATAAAATGATAGGTTTGAATTTGGAAAATTTCAACTATATAGACTAATATTGAATTCAATACATTCAAATATGAGTATATATGATGAGTTTTATAATTAGCACTAAGATAGAAATTTTTTATTAGATAATCAATAAAAATTGATAAAATTAACGATTCAATGGAATATTTGATATTTTTGGAAATAATAATTAGTAAATCTTAATTCTATTTTTTAAAATTCTGTTTTTTTTCTAGATTCAGTTGTAATTTGTGAAATCCAAACTGAATCCAATATGATTTTTTATATTCAACATAATTTGAAAAATATAACATTTTTTTTTCATAACATGATAAGATTTCACAAATTTCATTGAATTTTCATAATTAAGAGAAATATACTAATAATGAATTCTATCAAAGCATAAAATATATAGAGTTTAACCCCTTCGAGATTGATTACTCATAAGGGGCCCGGTGTGTGGAGCACCATCAGATCCCTATGTAAATAGTCATAAATAAAAGAATGAAAAAGTATGATGAAAACTTCTTCTTTTCATGAAATTTAAGATCTAAAAAATACTTGCAATACATAAATTTCTAATTGAATCGAGTCAGAATGGTTTTCGATTGGAATGGTATATTATGTGATCACATCGATTTTTTTAACAACAAACTCATGCTGCAAATTTTAATTACATACATATTTGTATATTTAAATATACTTGGTTCAATAAGACATTTAGTTAAAGTACAGATCAAGATTGACATTTGCAGTAGCATGCATTCCTAAAGATTTTACACAAAAGTTGTGTGGTTTGCTTCAAACAAAGTACATTTACAGAATATGGAAAGTCATCATCCAAGTTTCTGACTTATGTTTCATGTTTTCCATAAGCATTGCAACATACTGTGTAACACCTAATCATCTTAATGCAAAGAGATTATGCCATTCGTTCAAACGGTTGACGTTTTGATTATTAAACTGATAAATTTAACGATTAAAAGGTAAAATTAATTTTGAAGTACTAATAAAAATTTCAAACAATTTGAGTTTGGATACAAAACATAAGTAAAATTAAAATTGTGGATCCATATAAAAAAAAGCTTCAGAAGATAAAATATATACTTTATTTAATACACATTTTAAATATTTTTATTTTCTTGAAGTAAAATTTTAGAATATGATTGAAATATTTATAAATTATTTTTATGATAAAAAATTAGTTATATTAATCCAACCATATGAAATTGATCAAAAAAGTCATATTTCAAATTAAATAGATTGATAGGAAGCAGATTGTTATAATCCAGAAATTAATATGAGAAGATGTAGTTTAGAAGAGCAAACACTGATTGAAAAGGAGATGAATATAAGACAATGCTATAATAATGAAAAGATTGATCATAATTTATATAATCATCATATGTCTGATATGAGGAAAAAATGGTCACCACTGTTTTCATGAAACCTGGTATTTCAAACCCTTATGCAGATTTGTCATCGAATCATCTAGCTTAACTACATGATACTGTGAAAAATAAGTATATAAATTGGTATACAGTATATTTTAACATTTTGCAGAAAATCCTGAGTGAAACACAGAATTACAAACACATTTGTTTGAGAAGACAATATATATGTTTATGAGTATTTAAGATTAAAAAGCAGAACTTACAACTGTTTCTTAAAACTCAAATAATATTTTTGATATGTTTCAGACAGATTTGTTTTAAAGAAAATCGGTATCTAATTTCACTTAGTCAAATTGATATTTAGATGAACACAAAAAATGAAACACTCTCATACAGATGACTCTTCATATGAAATATTCATAATGTTATAACGATAAAAT